TATATATCAGGACAGGAAAATACCCAGGTCTGACTGCCCGGAGCAAGTAAATTTTGCCCTATGGCAAGTGAAAATAGAAGTTTGGTGGTCTCATGGGCAAGTGAAATTAGCCTCAGTAGTCTTATTAGTGATAATTCCACTCAAAAACATTTCCAAAACTCAAGTCTGCAACATGAGCAAAACAATGAGTTGAAAACACGGATTGCTTTAGAATACATACGTTTGTGTCACTGTCCAGAATCTTTCACCTAGTTTAGTACCAGTAAGCTCAGTTTGCCTTAGTCTATCACTGAGTATAAACAGTACCTTACAAATGATATAGTTGATAAATCATGAACATTGCACGCCTATTGAGCAGGCAAGTAATAAATGTATTTTAGAGGGGGCAACCGAAGACTGACTGGCCCACGGGACAACTGGATTTTATTTCTACCATTTACCTTTGATAGATTTGCAACAATAATAAAGGATAAAGTATGACACCCTCATCTTGTGCTGCATATTAATGAATTCAGGTCCGTGTACATATATCTAAAGTAAGCATACCAGAAAACAAGTAGACTGTGAATCCTGGCTAAACAGTTTCCAGCCATCTAAAACCAATGTCAAGGGCACTCTGGGTGAACCAGGCATCTTGCTTTGTATNAAATTTTGCCCTATGGCAAGTGAAAATAGAAGTTTGGTGGTCTCATGGGCAAGTGAAATTAGCCTCAGTAGTCTTATTAGTGATAATTCCACTCAAAAACATTTCCAAAACTCAAGTCTGCAACATGAGCAAAACAATGAGTTGAAAACATGGATTGCTTTAGAATACATACGTTTGTGTCACTGTCCAGAATCTTTCACCTAGTTTAGTACCAGTAAGCTCAGTTTGCTTTAGTCTATCACTGAGTATAAACAGTACCTTATAAATGATATAGCCGATAAATCATGAACATTGCACGCCTATTGGGCAGGCAAGTAATAAATGTATTTTAGAGGGGGTAACCGGAAACTGACTGGCCCACGGGACAACTGGATTTTATTTCTATCATTTACCTTTAATAGATTTGCAACAATAATAAAGAATAAAGTATGACACCCTCATCTTGTCGGTGAACTGTTTTTATGTGCTGCATATTAATGAATTCAGGTCTGTGTACATATATCTAAAGTAAGCATACCAGAAAACAAGTAGACTGTGAATCCTGGGTAAACAGTTTCCAGCCATCTAAAACCAATGTCAAGGGCACTCTGGGTGAACCAGGCATCTTGCTTTGTATCTTCGGACCACAAGTCAATCACTTCTGCCTTTCTATGTCCCTCAGACACCTGAAGTTTACCATTATTTTAAAAACCTCAAATCAAAACAAATCAAACAAACATATTAATGAGATGCAGAAGTTTCCAAAGCCAAAATGGGATGCTNGTTGACTTTGAGCAAGGGAAATAACTCTGAAGTTCAGATATTGTGAAATCTTGGGCCACAATTGACAACAACCTTCTCCGTTCATCGCCAAACTTACTGACTCGTCCGATAGCTCGTGCAGTCTCAGTCCGATTTCTCCCTTGTTCCACTCCACTCACATTTAGTTTACTCCCTTTCATGCTGTCTCCAATAAGGAGTTTGCTGGATATTTTTGCACCCTGTGCCCGTATCAATCGGCTCTTCTCTTTATCTTTGGCTGCAATGTAATCTCTTGCTAATGAATTCAACAGTTTGCCATCGCTGCTACTCTTCTGGTGGCTACTGAACAAATCAGCAAACTGACCTTTGAATTTCTTGGTAGTAGGGATGTCCCTCATTATGGCTTGAGTACCCTGCACACCAAGGGCTGTGTAGTCCGACAGTACCATGTCTATTTTACACATAATTTCGTTCCTTAAATCGATCTTCCTTCGGAGACCGACACATTCGTAGCTCTGGCGGTTCTGAACAGTTTCTGGGATCTGACATGCTTTGTCCTCTGAAGGTTTCCCACTAGAGTAATCAGCGAAAACGTCAGCTTCAACTGGATCATCTAGGACACCACAAACTTTATCTTCTGTATTACTATCAAGCGTAGGAGATAATACGCTTTCGCTTGCTGAAGCAGTCTAGAAAAACAACAAAGTCGAATGAGTGAAGAGTAAATATAGACAGATGTTTAGCCGGTATCCGGTCGTTTCGCCAAAGAGTCGTTTCGCCAACGAGTCGTTTCGCCAACGTCTTAGGTCGATTCGCCAACGTCCTACCGGTCAATTCGCCAACGTCATATATCCAATACTAACGAAAAAAAAAAGCTGCTTATTGATGTTTGGAATGCAATCCTGATCCTTGGGTGATCCTTGGGTCAAGAAATTTTAAGTCACTGCCAGTTTCGCTTGACTGACTTAAGATCAATTTGCATGTTTCTGCTGGTTTCACAAGCCGGCTCGTGGGCGCTACATCGCGGTAATTTTCACGGTGAAAATTGATTGTTGAATACCAAAGTCCGATGGCTTCCAAAAGTTTGATGGCTTCCAANACTGGCTTCCAAAAGTTTGATGGCTTCCAATTCGCGGATAATGCATTACAATGTAAATTAACATTATATCTTTTCCTTCTTCAAAAGCAAACAGAGTTTGTTTTCATTTTCCACCCTTATAATCGAGTTAGAAATAAAATGGAACGTCAAGTAAATAACAACAGCAATTTTATTACAGTATATCGTATCAAATATTTCCAAGCTCTTGCATGGAAAATAACTCTAGGTAAGGGAATGAAATAAATGACAACAGACACAAGTGAAGGTAAACTTTAAACTTTTATTTAGACGTTGGCGAATTGACTAGTAGGACGTTGGCGAAGCGACTTAGGACGTTGGCGAATCGACCTAAGACGTTGGCGAACGAGACGTTGGCGAAACGACTCGTTGGCGAAACGACCGGATACCGTATCAGTAACACGAACAATGATCGCTGGATATTTACTTGAACATGTGCAGTGTGTAACGTTTGAGAAGTTTCATGCTTCCGCACTGCCAAATTCTCAATCTGCTAGAACTGCTTTTTTAAAACAAAAAATCATAAGCTTCTCCCCAATCTCTATTTTATTTCTAAGATTCATTTTTCTTTCCCTTCGTTGAGTTCCTTACTCGGTGACAGCGCGCACATGACACAGCGAAATTTTTACTCGGGACGACAAAGATAGCACGACAAGTACATTGGAACTTTATCTCGCTGATACTTATTCTAAAATATTTTCAGGTCTTAGATAATTACTTAAAACTATTTAGAACAATACTAGAAGAAAGAATGATACAGCAAACCACACCATTTCAAAGTCAATCAACTTACCAAATCGGCCATCTTGAATACTGTGTTCGAATGCGCATGCACATTCAGGAAGCCGCTCGGCAAAAGGACCGCAACCCAAAGATTTTTCCAGCTGTTTTGTGAGCCCGCGGATCATCGAGCTTAAAGCGCTACTGGGAGGAGCTTTTCCTTTTATGTTATAGTGGAACACTGAAAACCCGTTAGGTTATTGATCCCAGCCGTCTGTCGAAATGGCTGTTTTATTATTAGGCCGTTTCACGCACTGTTGGTTTTAGCCGCGGATTCAAAACAGTGATCACGTGAGAACAAACAACTCATGGCTAAGTCAGCAGAACAGCTGTTGCAAATTCCTCAAAAGTAACAAGTTCGAGACAAATCTAATCCATGCAGTGGAATCTGCATCGTTCCAGCTCTTCTCTGTAACATATCTTGAATAGGCCCTTTGCACGATCCGGTCACATGGAACGGAATTAATTATGCTGGGACGCAAGTTACACAGTGGGACTTTCAAAACAAAGGAAAGTGGGGCTGAACTGGTACGAGTTCCTTTGTTTTGGAGGTCCCACTGTGCAACTTGCGTCCCAGCATAATTAATTCCGTACCATGTGACCAGATCGTGCAAAGGGCCTATTGTATCTTTCTAGAAAATACCAAACTCGGCAAAAAATAACACACAAACTGCGGTGATAAACATGACTATAAAACGCATTGTTGTAAAGCAAAAAGAGAACAATGCGTTTTATTGTCATGTTTATTACCGCAGTTTGTGTGTTATTTCTTGTTTAGCTACGATAGCCAAAGAAAACAGAGTATTTACGAAACTCAACAAACTTGCAAACAAACTGTGAATCACCTTCTCCGAGGGCAGGAGATTCGCTCATCACACGATCATGAAATTCGTCATCACGTGATCACTTTTTTTTTTAAATCCGTGAATAAAGCCAAAGGTACGTGCGAAAAAGAAAGCAATTTTAACAGACCAACCGGGCTATGAAAATTTGGCCGTATTATCGGGGTGGCGCATTAACGGGGTTTTCTCAGAGGAAAATGTATGGAGAAAAAAGTGGCCGAGGTTAACGAGGTTATCGTAAGGCGGGGTTCCACGTGATTTTCCCGGTGATTTTCCCGGTGGTTTCCCAGTGCAATATCTTATCTGAACGGCCGACAACGTTAAGATACCGGTAACTCTGCTCATCTGCAGGCGGAATTTCTTGCGAATGATTTGTTCGTTTCGGCGGTGAAGATCGAGAAATATTCGCCTGGTGGCTTCCATATTTCATCAGAAGAATTGCTTACAATCAGTAAGTCAAGATTCAGCCTTTCTTAAAGTTAAAAAAATTGCAAGTTGGTTGAGTGACACAAATTTTTTTCGAAAAATTTAAGTGACTCTATAAATACCCCTTCCACAATCTTTTTAAAACTCATTTGCATAAAAGTTGCATTTTACCATATGCATGCTAATATCAGTTTAATCAATAATAAATGGGTTCACCGAACTCGTTTTGTAAGGGCGTTTTAATAGGTATGATGTTGCTATGGTAACCTTTTGCTTTTATACTGCGGTGGGTAGCAAATTTAGTAAGATGACGTTTTCAGTAAGCTTGAAACCTTCGTTGATGCGACTAGTACTTATTAAAGCCAGACAGTTTCGCAAAAAAAAACCTCAGTCAACTGAACTTGAACCAGAATGAGGGTAAATTTTGCTACAGCATCGATAGCGCAAAGAACTTCTCGCCTTTATTTATAAGATGGCACTAAACCACCATTTTTATTGTTTGTCGCTTAATAAGCCGGTGCACGCGGCACGTGATGTTGGAAGAATGCGAGGAGCGATTACGCCAGAAAAGCGAGATAAAGGTAAGTGATCTCAGTGATTTACGCAGAATATTTCAACGTTATCCATTGCTTTATTATTTCCATTATACAAACTCTTGAAATACTGAACTTTATACTAGTCAACAGACATTTTCAAAGTGACCGTTACGGCATTTTTGAAAACTATTTATATCGTAATTATTAGAGGTCTAGAACCTAGAACTAATTATATTATTTCGACCCTACTTCACATAGAGCAGTTTTCAATTGAGTGTGGGAAGTAATTAGACGGTTACTTTGGTTTGTGTTTCGGTCTTACTAAGGTTTGCGACTGGGCGAGTAGTCTAATTGGTAAGCTAGTAATTGCTTTGGTTTTTGTTTTATGACATTCAATTGTTCGAAATCGCTCTTAACAGCGAAGTTAGTATAGATTGGTGAGGATTCCTATTCTTGGGCATATATACCAAGCTCTGTACTGCATAACGGACATAAATGAACTACATTCTTAACGGAATTGTAAAAGAATGGAGCTAGACAGCATCCTAAGTGACAACCAAAAGCACACAACAACCCTGCTAGTGCCCAGGTCATGCTGCTAGTGCGGTATTTAGTATACGTTAAAACCTGGGTTCCACATGAAGTACAATGTGCCGTGGTTGGAACATCTTCGAAACTCGCTCGTCGTGGCGGAACTTCAAACTTTCTGTGATTTGTTCCATCATTTGCCTCTTGATTACGATGGCTGGTGCCTACGTTGCTATCACTGCTTTCACTGAAATGTCCCTCCGAATTTGAAGGCAAGCAAATTATCTTGGGAGCTCTACAGAAAGGCCGATGCATTGTCGGGTCCTCACGACCAGAAGAATGTTTCTCGATTGAAAACCCGCTATCTTTCTCAGTTAACGCCGGAGCAGCAGAAAGACTGATGCGAGAAATGCTTGAACAATCGGAAAATCGACTAGCTGCCGTCGACAGGTGAATGTTGGAAATTCCTCCAGATCCTGCCAATTAAAAACAAGTTTCGAAGTTTTAGCATAATTTAGGCCTGGTAGCAGCCCCTCTCCCTTCCCCCCTCCCCCATAAATTTCCTGAGATCTTCGGTAAGTAAGTTATTCAGGTTATTTCGCTCGTTTTCATTTGAGTGTGTATATTTTCATACGCTTTGGCATTCTGGCCTCCTGATACGAAAATGTTCTTCAAAGGAAATATTTTGCTATAGAATAGAAAAGAATTATTTTGCTTGTCAACAAAATCGTAGATTTCCCGAAGTTTAAAAATTGAAAAAGCGGCCAAAGTAACGATGCTCAAAAGGTAGCGACCTCTAACGTTCCTTGTCTTTTTTTTTTTTCTGAAATAATGGAAATACTGAGATACTATAATTCTGTAACAACTAACTTTACCGCTTAACTGATTTGTTGTTTAAATTAGATGACCCAATATACGAGAAAATATATTTCCTGTTCCGATTTTCACGGCTTTTATCATTTTATCTATTTCTTCCGCGTCAGTTCCGATCAGTTTCTCCAAAGCATTTTGCTTTATTAAGATCAATAGGTCCTATAATATACTACACGTTTGGCTACTGGAAAGTAGCGACTCTCCGAAAGTGACGATAGGAAAAGACTGCTGATTTCCGATTAGCAACGACAAAGGGTCGTTACTTTCGAGTCCTCGCGGTATTAGTTTTAGAAGCTCCATTCTCACTGTCCTGACAGCCTGCCTTGTATCCAAGTGTTTGCTAAAAGGTCCAGTTTGGAGAGTGTTTTGAAAAATGTCTGTCTTTTTGTAAAAGTAAAAAATCCTTTTCAATAGTTAACGTGTTAATGCCTCTTTGAAAATCTTACGATCACTATTTTGAGATGAAGAACACGAAAATGTACATACTTGTGGATGCAAAAAAAAAGCAAATTTCGAACATTGTTATCGTCTAGTACACCTTAAACCCAACTTTCGAGCGGAGAAGAAAAATAAATAAATTCATGTAACCCAATCCAATGTTCCTTTCCCCCTTGCATGCAACAGGGTCTAAACTAGGCCCTCTTCCGTCTCCAGATTCGTTTTATTTTGATTCGAAAATCAAGAAGAAACATACTCCAATAGAAAAATTCGTTTTCATAACTTGATCCAGCCTGACATGAGGATTTTCCCAGGCTTAACTAATTACTCTACATGTCAAGCAATGGTCACTCACCGTGAACTGCACATTCCTGAATTTTGTCCATGGAACGTTTCCGCGAAAAATCATTCAGCAATCTTTACTCCCATGTAACACAAAGTGAAAAATTGTCTTTTCTGATTTTCCGAACTGCACTGACGCCCTTGACTGTTGTGTTTTACCTTTGTACATGCCGCTTATGTAAATTCAAAATCAGATTTTAAGCGCACTCATTGTGTTGAAAATTACAATCAGGATAACTGTTTGTCAAAGCTTCAAATCAGCGCCGGAAGATATTGAAACTTTCAGTCAAAATTCTCAAATTTTGTTTCTCCACGCTGACTTCCAAAAGTGCCGAGGTAAACAGAGTTAAAAGCTCAAGTACTCAGCCTGTGACATTTTAATGCATTTTGGAAAATCTTCGTGTCTTCTTGAGAAACATGGTCTGTTACATCACAATGACGTAATAAGATTACATCACGTTGCTAAGTAACTTCTTATTCTAGATCTGACAGACAGGAATGCGGAAGATTGGGACCGATAAGATTTATACCGATTCTTGGCTGTCGATCAATCTTATAGAAAAAATTAATAAAGCGTCGTGTTTTTCAAAAACCTTAGCTTTCAATTCCGAAGCGTCTGAACAAGTTGCAGCTATTTTTTCTTAGCAGCGATTAACAAAGAGGATTGTAATTATCAAGTTTTATTTCCCTCGGGCTCACCTGCATGAATCAGTAATCGAAAAAGACTTTCTGAAAGCAAGCTATTTGCATTAATTTTTGTAGTTGACATTTAGGAGATCGACATAGGTTTGCGAGAAGGTCTTGATCAGAGTGATAAAATCTCAGTTAGAAGCTAAATTTTTGGCGATTTACCAGCTGTCATTTAAAATTTAAGCCTTTTTCTTAGTTATCGGTAAGTTATGCAAATCGCAGATCCCAACTATTCATTTCGCGTCATTTCTCAGCTATCTTGAGAGGATTATCTTGTGAATAATCACCCCTCTTATCCAGCATTCTCTCTTGATATGCATGGTATGCCAGTTCTAGACCCTTGTAGGGAATAGCCGTGACGTTAACCTTGCGTTTTAGGTCTGTTCCAGGTTTCCCCAGATTTTACGTGAGAAAACCCGTGATAGATGGTGAAGAAAAGATATGTGGATTTGTCTCTCTGGGCCTCTCTCCTTATTTACCTTTTCAATGTGTTTGCTGGTGTCCTCCACAAATCCGATCCTGAAATAAGGCCAAGGCCATGACTACTTTTCTTTCTTCACCAATACATACTCCAACCCTTTCGTAGCTCTCAAATGATAAGGTTTCCACTCTGGTCTTCGTATATACGACACAGTGATAAGTAAGGGCAAAGTATTGTTCATGCTTGTTTATCGCTCTCTTTAATAGCGCTTTTTAATTGTAAAACCACAACCAAATCCTCTGCAAGTTTATAAACCAGTCACGGCGTGTGTATATGTAAGAAACAAAATGAACCAATGAGAACACTAATCAAAGGGAATTCGGGTAATCGGTACCGAGCGCGGGGAAAACGACAGCGACCAATGCGCAATGCGAAAATGTAACTGAATACCGAGAATTGATTTGCCAGCAGAATCTTAAAAGAGCCATTAACATAAATACTTTATTGGACTACAACCATGGACTAATTGTGTTGAAATGTGCTGAAAAATGGTAAAATGTAAACTTGTGTTGAATGAAAGTGTTTTGTCGACTTTGCACAGGGGTAGGGAGGGGCAAAATGCGTTCAGAATAAATTTTTCCAGCCCTTGTAACCAAGGTTGTAGCTAGCTTATGCGGTCCGCACTGGGGAATATTGGTCTCGTTCTGCAGTTATTTACCCAATACGGACCGCACGCTAGTTCAATAAGCCTATAATCTCCTATACTAACTAAGTGCGAGGGCCTTACTCAGGAATATTAGCCCTAGATCGTGGCAGTACGGACCAAGCGCAGCGAGTTCTGCACAGAAAAGATCGTGGGCCAATATTCCGCAGTACGGCTCGAGCAAGCTAGGTTAGTGATTAGCTCATTATGTATGGCACTCGAATCGCTAGCGATTTCTATGAAGTTATTGTTGATGAGGCCAACGGCCGGATCAGCAATCACCTCATAGAAATCGAGAGCGAATAATCTAATTTTTCTTGTCCTTTCTTTAGTGTTTTTGAGAGTTTAATTTTCCAGTAACGTTTCTAAATCTTCCTTGAAACATCTGAGAAACCAGAAAACGTTGCAATTATGTGGAATAGCTACTGCACATGCATTAAGACTGATAATGTACGAGTAACTCAGCCAGTAAAATTACAATATTTCCATCAGTATACCTAGTAGAATTCTACTCATAACTCTTATGAATAAAGAAAACGTTTTCATTGATTTCTAAAGGTCTATTGTTTTCCATTGTGTTTATCATCAGGTGCCCCATGTTCTTTTATCCTACTCCGGCATCAATCTTTCCAGAACTAACCTGATCAAAGCAAAAGTTTGCATACGAGCCAAGTGGCCAATCATGCAGGCCGGCGCTTATCTCCGGGTTTCGTAACGTGAAGTGGCTAGGAGCATTTTAACTCCCCCCTGGATGGGATTTTAGTCCATTACAGGGTTACCGCCCAGCACTAAGTTCGCCGGTACCCATTTATACACCTGGATGCAGTGCGGCACATGCACTATGAAAGTAGATTGTCTTCTTGCCCTAAATATACAACACAATGTCCCCGGCCAGGCCTTAACCAGGACCACTCGATCTGGAGTCGAGCGCACTAACCATGAGGTCAGCGCTCCCCCAATGATCTAAGCAAGGATTCCAATTATTAACTGAAAGACAGCTCACCGTTAAAAGCATTGAAATAAATGTAATTGTAATGTTTTAGTGGAGTTGAATTTCGAGTTGATAATGGTTTCAGAATCTTATCGTCAAAATTGCTACGAACGATTTTAAAAGCGATGATTTAAGACATCATGAAGAAATGGAGATTAAGAGTCGCTGAAAAAGAAAACTAGAAAAAATAAAGTTAAAAATTTCCTCAGTCGGCCAATGAAAGTTGAAGTTGAAGCGTTGTACTTTTTCTGTACTTTCGTACTCAAGTGGTGAGAAAGGGCATGATTGAACAAGCTTCTTATTATTTATTTATTTTTCTTTTTTTTCGCTGCTGCAGGATAACATTTGGCGCGTAGTTTGCACGTGCCACCAGTAAGCAGCAGCCTTGATCTTTTGGTATTTCTATTTCTGTATTTATCAGGTGTTAGTAAACGGTCACTACCTGATACTGGATGCTGTTTGAACTGTTCTCGATCGTTTTTACACGTGTTTGCTCAAAAGACCTATAAAATGATTGAAAAGAAAACATACATATATGAACCGGTGTTCTGTTGTCGGGAATCTGTTAATAAACGACTTGTGTAATCCATCAAAGACTGTTTTCCGCTCAAAGAAATGAGGCACTTAACGTTTTAATTGCAATTTGTACAATTCTGTTTGATTATTCATGGCTTAAAAGCCCAATTTTTGTACACCGATTTTTAAACTCTTAGAATGCTTATCTTTTATCGTCATTCGTTCTCTGTTGTTGTTAAATATTTTCTACAATCAAGACGTTACGTCAACATTTGCCTTTACGTGGAAATCCATCTGTTTACCTCGAAAGTTGGCCATTTTTATCTTTTCAGAACAAAAAAGTGGCGTATTGCTAACTGAATCAAACGTTTACCGTAAAATTATCTTAGCCTCCGGCTGTTTTATGAAAATCGTAACAGTTCAATTAGTTTGGCTGTTTTTATGACCGAAATGGGCACATGGTTATGACGTGAGGGCACGAGCAAAAACAATCATTCACTTGTTACAACAAACACAAGGTTTCAATAGTTACATCTTGCACTTGATTTTATCTTCTCTGGAAAGATTAGCTGTGATACAGCGGGTCAAACGCGGTTTAGTGCCTTTTTGGAATGTTTCTGTATTCTCTTTAATGAGGCAACTCGGTTCTCTGGCTAAAAACATGGCAATTTCTAAATTGAATTATCAAATACAATTACCCGCTTGGCGCTACAATAAAACATTAGTACTTATTTCGCGGCACCCCTAGCGATGGCGGTCAAGCAAAAGCAACATTGTTAGAGTCTGCTAGTCACCTGTGTTTATTTTCTGTCTCTCAACAAGCCCGCTAGACTTGCCGTCGCCAGTATTTTAAACTCTCAAGCGTTCCAATTGTTTGCCTCATGCTTAAGGCTCCTTTCAAACCCCGAATTTCTTTTGTTTAAGTGTAACCCATTTTTTCACATCCCATTCTTTGAAATAATTTCGTAGCAAACTTCGGTTGATAGATACTTAGATTCTTCTATAATCTTTAGGACCTGGCGTTAAAAGTTTTAAAGTAAACTAAGTATCTTTAACTTTCATTCCTAGAGGTTACGCTAAGAAACGAGCGATGCAAAAACTTTTCTATTTTTTTTTCATGAAAAAGCGCTCTTTAAACTGAAGGTGTAAGTTCTGCAAGTACAATTATACACTGAGTTACAAATAATTAATTCTTATAGCGTTAACTGCACCCAGATCTTCCATAATTAAGGCTCAGTTCAGACGCCGAACTTTTCATGAGCCGAACCTAATACGTTGAATTAAGTACATGAAAAGTTCGGCGTCTGAATCAGTTAAAAACGGCTATTTGAATTTGGAACGGCTCAGCCGTCCTTCCCGCCTAGCTCAGCCGGGAATTTCGGCTTTCGAACGGCTTTAATTCAGACGTCGAACTTTTCATGAGCCGAACCTAATGCATACACCTTGTCTGAAAACCGCTGATGTTTCGATGTGTTTTGGTTCGAACTAAATTAAGTTCGACGTCTGAATCAACAGGAGTACTTTTGATAATTTGGGTCGGTCCAAATTCGAATTAAGTTCGGCTCATGAAAAGTTCGGCGTCTGAACTGGGCCTAACTTGTATTACATTAAAAGTTAGAAAACATTCTCTATGACCTTTTATTACTTATGTGTTAGAGCATTTCACAAGCAAACGAAAAGAAATGTCATTGTTTACACCAGAGATACAAAAACAAAAAAGATTTTAAGATTTTGGCTGTCCGGTTTGTGTAAAAAAAAAGCAAAAAAACAGGTGCTTGAGACTTAAAGCCTATCCTCGTTTCATCGTAACCCGGTCAGAAACCTTAACACGAAGCAGCGACACAATCAATTTAGGAGGTTCATTATATCATGAGGCGGTACGTTTCATTTAAATATACTTTTATCTTGAATATTAATTTAGTGTCCTCAATTTATTATTTATATTTTCTTGTGGCCAGTCTCCGTTATTCCTAGTTAAAAGGTATCAGAACAAATCGCGTTAAAAAAAAAAGCGTTCACTAATTCTTTTCCGATCTCCAGTCTGGCCTTAAATAACCGCAAGATTATGTATACATTATTAAAATACTGCGTTTCACTAAATATATAAATTTCTATATCAAGTTTCTTCGGTAGCAATTGGCTAATTTCTCGTATTATTAATTCGAAATGCTGGATCATCGGTGGTAACGATGCAAGGTAATCATAAATTACGTCTCCCACCTTCGTGTTTATTGACTTTGTAGAATTAGGACAATATAATGAGGAAGAATAAAAAGAAAGACATGATTTTATCATGTGTAAAAACAAAACACGTAATTTGTGACCCGCTGAAATACTGACAAAACGGAAAGAAAACTCATAAAAATAAACTTGGAAAGCTGCTTTATACCTGATCATGAAAGAGAATGGATAATAGCCAGTTTGCCGCTTTGAGAAGCCAATCAAAAGCCACGGCAGAAAAAGAAATCGACGGTGTCAAAAGTACAGCAGACCACTGAAGTCTTACGTGTGGCCAGTCAATAATTAAAAAACTTTCCTTCTCGCTCAAGTGCGTGAATCGACTCTAACACGTGCATACAAGGGACATGAGTAAAGCCAGCCCTAAAGTGATAATAAAACTCTTCAAAACGTAAAACAAAGAAACTGGATCTCCAAGAGACTTAGTTAAAGATACAAGAAACACAACTCACGTGGCATAACCGCACGAAATACCTCCTGCGCGTGCGAATTTCCGCAAAACTAAAAAGTTCCGTTAGTAGATGTGTGATCTAATTTCATTAACCTCGCTAATGCTGTCTAACTCAACAAAAAGTTTTTACTGGGAATGAGCATCGCAAAACATATGCGATCTCTAGCAACTGAGCGATAGAGTTCAAATGCGACCTTTGGTTTTTGTGTAATTCATGTATTCATATCCAAGAACCAAATGTCCCTCTTGAGCTTTTTGAAAACTTAATTAATTTCAATGACAGAAATGTCTTGATTATTTAAAATGACAGGGTTAGAGACGAAATGAATTTCTTGTTTATTCCTGTTGAGAGCCTTGCTAGCCGTTTGCAAAATGTCCTTCGTGCAATCTGAAACATTTGAAATGAAATTTTTGCACTTTAATATAGAGAGGAGATTATTTTGAATCAATTCTGTAAGTTTTAAGATTGCTGCGAGTAGTAGGCGTAATGAATTTCGCGAAGCTTTCCTTGCAAAACGGGAGCGACCGACTTGAATTTTAGTTACCGAGAAGAGGCGCAAGGCAGCCACAGCGAAGGAACAACAGAACACAATATACATCAGTGGGATATTTGCATGACTAACAGACAACGGTGTAATAATAAATAGCTACTGGTTGTACATTTATTTATCTAAGTTGTATTCGAATGATGCCAAAGGCTTTGTATTGAACCACAGCGTTTGAAAATGTGCTTTCAAGTTGCTGTGATATTGATTTTGCTCACTTTTTTTCTGTTCTGTCGACAAAACAAAACAAAACCAACGCAAATATGGCGAACGCGAGCTTACATCTGTTCCGTAACAAATGCTGCCGTGTGTTTATTTTATCTTATTTTTGTGTTTTGTTCGTCGTATCTTTCATTGCAAGATCTCCTTTCTGCCACAAAAGGCCGCGGGAACAATTAACAGTGAAAGAATGAAGCTTTTCATACAGACATAAACGATTTTTTTGTTGTTCATTCGTACACGATCACTCGTGGTAAAGTTAGTTTACAATGAAAATGAGCTCGAGAAAAACGTTACAAAATGAAATGGCTTATTGTTTAAAGTACACCTGCTTAGAGGTTCGCGTTTTCTTTCTTTTTCTTTTTCTGCTGAATAAACTGAACCACGCTTTTAAATAATATTTTTCTGAGAAACAAAAACTTTAATTACACCAGTGTTACTGGAAGCTGCACCTAAAAGCAACCAAATTCATTTTATTGTAATTTTCCTTGGGTTTGAATTGGTAATGTTCGGTTGTTTAAGTACAATAAAGTTTAAGTTTAGCGAATATACCCTTTTGACGGAAAGAAGGATAAGCAGAGATTACAAAAAAATGACAGCAGATATAAAACAAATATCTTTCGCTTTATCTCAACTTTACGTATTTCCTCAACACATCTTCTTTCAGCGTCCGTAGAATCTACAATACAAGAGAAACGCGCGAAAGGGCGGACTTGACGCGTGGGTAGCGCGTGTCTCGTGCCTAGTCGCGAGGCACGCAATGCGTACGTAATCGGTAATGTGCTAAGAAGATAATCCCGATTTTGCCATGGTTACGGGAGGTAGTTAACCTTGGCTTTCTAGAACGTTCTAAAAGTACGATTTTTCTTAGCGCTACATTGTTGATCTACGTTTTCTATTCAGTTTGTGCACGAAACGAAAGAAAGGATTTGTAACAAAATATTCTTTATTTTCGGTGATTTCAATGCATTTTTGCGGAAACAAAAAGGAATTTTGTCTCGAAAAGTAATCAATTTTCTAAAAGCTATTGGGCGTAATTACCCTTCTATTTTTAACAAATTTGCTCTAATGTAGACGAAAGCTTACACGCCCGAAGGCCTTCTTAAGGCTTTAATCATTTTTCCGCTCAGAGCGGATTTGCTCTCTGCACAGGAAACTTATGTCGGCTTCTTAAATACAAACAAAAAAGGATACAAATTAATTTTCTCAAATTACCAAATTAAATAAATGTTCTTTGATAGTTTAAATGGCTCTCAAAGATGCAAATTTGATTCCTTTTGAAGTCAAACAAAAGCAGTTCTTAAAAGAGGTTTTTTGTAACCTTCCGACGGGATACATGCACATTTCACTGTTTGGAATTAACGCACCGGCAGCCATAGTTCAATGGATTTGGTGGCACTTAGATTCATTTCCGTTTAAGCATCATTCTATAATTAAAATCTTGAATTTTCATAAGCGGTTTGAAGCAAAAAACGAATTTATTTGCCAAAGGGGAATAGTTATTTTACCGGAAATTAATTTGTTCACATTTATTAGTCTTCTTTTGCGAATTAGAAGCCGATTCACCTGTCGTTGTCGCTTGTTTGTCGAAATAACCAATTCATTTATTTCGTATGAAACTTTCGAGCTCACGATGTTAGCGCCTCATTTATTTTTTCGTATTTTTCCGTTGCACTATGTATTTCTCTTTGATCATAAAAGAACAGATTTGCCTAAATAAGAACTGATAGATATTTCGAAAATGAGTTTTGTTTACGCAAAATAATGTAGCACACGCCCTTAATGTAAGATGAACCTTGAAGACTAGTCACAATGTTTAAGTCAATGGGTGACTGGTGCAAACGAGAAAGCAACTACCCAGAATAAATGACGAACTAAGGTGAGAAATGTGAAGAGCGATTAAAGTTTACGAACCGTTGCTGTGCTGGATAAGTTAAAAGGTGTGTAACGTTTTAAACGCTCTCCATTTAGAAAACGCTATTGGCACCTTCTGCCAGCTTATGTTAATTACAAACTTCTATTGATGACACGCGTGTGCAGAATTAAGATAAGAAATGAGACTAAGAGACTAAGTCAGGCTGAAAACTTGAAAATGTAACCGATATTGGCTATAATAGAGAATGTCAGAGAAAGAGTATGAATTGATTAGTGCTCTGGTTAATTGAAATGAAAGAATGATTTAACGCTGAATGCCGTGCGCCGCACTCCATTTAATTTTAGACAACTGAAGCCAAATGTATTTGTATCAAGGGGAAAAAAGCTATTTTTTTTACTATCATCGAGCACATTTTGAAATCACCGTATAGCCAGAATATTTTTTTAAAAAAATAATAATAATAATACAGAAATGTTATTACTAACAAAATACAGCATCGTCAACTTTGCTGCCTTCCCGTGGGTCTATAAAAAAAAAAATTGAATTACGATTGCAGTGCTATAATTCATGACGGCAAGGTCAGCGCAAGGCTTCAAAACATCCTAGACTGTTTCAAAATTAATTATCAATATTTAAACACGAAGATGCTTTATACGATACCCACAGAGCTACATAATGACACCAAGCCGAGATAAAACGAACAACGATGAGGTTTTAATATTCACTTACATTTTGCTTCATCATGAATTAACATTTAAAAGCCATTTTTGCCAGAAGAGAAAAAAAATCCAGCGAAAAGGCAATACTCTCTCGTGCTTTGAAACTTCATCGACAAAAGACGGTCAGAAATTGTTCTTAATCAAGACGTAGAAAAGACGAAAACCCGTGCGAACATCGCGGTCATTTCGTACAAATATAGCATCCACCGGTTTCGTTTTGCAAATGAACTTTAAATTAATGACATGAAGTTTGACAGTGAAGAGGCAGGTGCGAGCATTTTTCTTTGCCAAAGCTTTAGCTTGTAAAACAGACTAGTTTATAGCTGCAGCCCTTATCTAGGTTAATTACCTTAAAAGATAGCATCTACACGCGGGCGTGTGTTAATCAATTTTCTCCTAAATACACCGGCGGAAACGACGAAGGAAAGATTCCGCACCACTGGGCTAAATGACTCGAGAGAAGGTCACCTATTTCCTGCACGATTTAACTCTAAAAATTTTGAACCAAGCTAAATATAACATAAAATGCACTGTGCCGTCATTCAGCCTAACACTAATACCATTTTTACAGGTTATATTACCAATTCCTCTCGCAGTGGTTGGTTGATACAAAGATAAAGACCGCGACATTTTAATTTGTAACTTGTTTGTAAAGTTTCAAGTGCCTTTCTTGTTCTTGGCAAACAGCCTTGAAATTTGAACTGAACATTTTCCTCGCTGTTAAGTTTCCGTTTATGTCGATTAGCATAGCTTTAAGTTTCATTATTCAGGACAATCTGCATCGAGTTATCAAGGCTTCTTTCTCCAGTCTTAATCAGTTTTCCTTAATTTTACGTAAGCCGTTATGAATAAGTTTGAAGGATGAGCGGGGATTACTCTGGATTTAATCTTAAAATTCTTTTAGATTAACCGTATTTTGAACTACACCTCCACAGAATGGCAGTATATGGCGAAAAGCGTCTGTATTAAAAATTGACAGGTTTTCTTGCACCCTTAAACGAAAAAACGAAGCGATTTACAACCTTAGTTAAAATATACTGCGGGGGCGTTTTTTCGTTGTTGAAGAATTATAGATCTCCAAATAAAACTGCTTAAATTACACTCTAGTTGTGCTATGCTAATTTGTTTCAAAAAAAGATACATACAAATTCTTTAGTTTTCGAAGTTTCTTTGTTCTTTATTTCTAACATTTACACTTTACGATTTATTTTTAAGGTTTTGAAATGCTCGTGATTGTCATAATCTCTAAAATAAAGTAAAAATAAAGTATCGATTTTATAATAGTTGACGTAATTGGTTATGAAATGGTTGTGAAAAAGTAAGATTTTGTTTCAAGGCTTTAGAACATGTGTAAACATTCTGGTCTCACTAACAACGATATCTCTACTTTTCTCTCTCCTTTTAGCCGCAAACCCCAACGAAGCACCAACTTTTTTCTCGTGATTTCGTTTTATAGACAAACTCTCTAATCGAAGCGACTGGTGTCATTGAGCAAATAGGCGTCTCTCGGGAAACGCACGCCAACTGATGTCAATTAACAAGCGACATATGCAATTTGTAGCACGTTTTAGCAAGGGTACACACCAGTTTAACTATAGCTGTTACCATCACTGCTTAGTAGAACCCCAACAGTTGCCACGATTCGAGGTCTATAAAAACCGTGTCGCCCGCCTACTATTTCCAACTGAAAGTTATTTACTCAGTTGGGCGTCCTTTCGAAGAATTAAAACTTCTGTTTTGCGCTTGTTAATTTTCCCATACTCTGGTAGGGCGAGCTTAATTCGTAAAGAAGTGGATTCTCTATTATGGCGCATGGAAATCTGTCAGTGTAAACTAATTGTAGGTGTCAAAGTGAGTTGAAGCTAACGAAAAGATTAACAAAGTCAATTCTTGGCCTCAAACCACGGTTCATGCGTCATCTCACAAAGTACCCGCACGTAAACAAAGTTTGTGGCCCATTAAATTGATATTTAAATGCGTGCAAACGAATCCCTCGCTTATAAATCTCCATTTAAGCAATGCCAATTGTCGAAGATGTGATATTGATGAATTAACGAAGGCGAATTGTCAGCTTAAATAATAATAAAACAAAAAAAAATGGAACGCGAAACGTCGCAAAACCAGAGGTCGATTCGCTTCGATATTCGTCATATTCCATGAGAAAAGTTTAAATGCATCTTGCAGTACACGTTTTTTTCAACAGGAAAAAAATACTCATTTTAGTCGAAAGCGATGCACTATCAATTGCGGTTTTAAACCTACAGGTGGACATGTTAACAGTTTGACTCCATGAAATAATTATGTTTTGTTTCTGAGTGGAAATCGACATTTCCACTTTGAATCATTCCAAGAGGAATTCCCAGGTTTTTCCTTTTGAACTTCTGGTCAAGGTTATCTCTTTTGGCGAGTTTTAGCTCGAAAGATAGTAATTAATTTCAATTAAATTGAGGTTCCTCGCTGGGATGAAAACTAAAAGATTGCCATTTTGTGTCATTGTTCAAACAATGTGATACAACAAATTTGGCTAATTTGATCTCCCTAGGCAGCGTTCTCTTAAAGTAAAACTAATTTCTAATAATTTTGGGCGCATAATTAAGTGGAATGTGGAAAAGGTATTCACTCGATCCATGATTTCATGTTTTTCAAGGTCTTATAAGCCTTGAAACAGATATTGCTTTCTGCCAGAAGCGAATAACCATTAATTGATCTTAATGTAAGACTTTGGGTTCCGTACTGAGAGAAGAACGAATTTCGACAAAAATTAAAAACGAACAAATGTAGTTAAGCCTGACCGAAAGTTTCGATAAATGCAGCTAAGGCAACAAAGATTTTCTCTCTTTAAATTATCTCTTTATTTATAAGAACCAATGGCCTCTAATTTCTTAAGGCCTTCGATAATTTTTCTACAACAATTAAAGAGAACATATGTTCCCATGAAGTACTTTGTACAGCCTCGCTTACTCGCTAAAAACACGAACTTGCATGACTACAGCATACAGATATCATATCAGTTATGATTGCTTCTTCATATATTTACAACATGCTTCTAGCCTTTCTGTCATCGAAAGTCTTCCGTATCGTAATTTCTAAACTCGGTCGCCGTTTCTTGTTTCATGACTACGGCTCCAGGCGACGCACTTCGCCAAGAAATTAATTAGCCGTATAAAGAATTATCCGATTTACTCATCCATTTTCGACACCTTTTTGTTTTACAGAACTATTGTACAAAAAGCCTTTACCTTATTCTACAATTCTCTACATATTCAAATGTACACGATTTGTTGTTCTTCGCGCTAAAATGGTCAATACAACCTCTCTAACTTGAAGGTGACAGCGGGTTTTGTGTGTTTTCGGTTACTTGGTGTTGGGCAGCTTTCTTGTCTTTTTTCCACTTAACACGGCGATTCTGGAACCAGATCTTGACTTGTTTCTCGGAGAGATCCAGCAAAGCGGCGATTTGGATCCTGCGAAGCCGGGATAAATATCTGTTTTGGCTGAATTCTTTCTCGAGCTCCAATAACTGCATGCTTGTGTATGCCGTGCGAATGCGCTTTGACCTGGAATTTCCTCTGTTCAAGTTGTTGGGCTCGGCGCGGGATACTGTTGGATGAAAAAAGATGTGTTTAAGCGGTTTTATCTCCAAACACGATCGAGCATATACATAGATAAAAAAATGAAACTTCATGATTCGAAGTCTGGAGTGGGCCAAAACTTTGGCGAAACACCTGTCATTATGAGCAGATTAGATAATGCGGCTTCGCGGACTAAAAAGGTAAAATTACAGATAATTACCGTATGACACTAAACGGAGGCGATCTTCCTCAGTGGTTGGGTAATGTGGCTGTAAATGACTGTGTTCGGCTTTTAAGAACTCTTTCGAGTAAAGGCTCGCTGCATCAGGAATTGATGCACCGCGGACGTGTAGAAACGGGTGAACGGCCGGACTTGTAGGAATACAGAGCTGACACAAACCCGATGCTTCTGACTGCGAAGGCGTCCAACAACACGAACAAGGAACTGTTGGTTCGAAGCTGTGTCTTGATTCAGCGGCGATGGAGGCGCTGGTAGTTTTCGGTTTGCTGCTCTGGATTAGCGACTCGATGTAAAAGGAGGAACTCATGTTGATGCTTGCACGATGACAGACTACTAAGTTCTACCCGTGGCAGCTATAATGAGACATATATAGTGTTAAGCGCACGTGGCCTATGTTGCCAAATTATGTTCACTATTGTGCGAATCATAAAGGAATATCATAAATAATGAACGAATTTTAAAGCTTTAGAAAAACAGTTTAAAGCACGCTTAATTACTGATACAGCCATTCAAACTCGGCCAATGATTACCTAGGTGGGGGCGTGGTGTAGCTGCGCTTGTTTCTCTTCCTCTTATTTATTTTCCTTAGAAGAAGATTTACTTCACAAAACGCAATCCATTGATCGACAGGCCGGTGGATCTCGGCTAGGTGATCGTTCCAAGAAAACGTCCACCAGTAAAACTAATCAAGACGGAGCTGGCCCCATGATGTTCTTTTTAAACTAGTCTTTGCTCTGTATCACCTGCGAAGTCTTGATGACATTTCTATTTCCAATTGTTAACCATTCACTCGGCCTTTTTGGTGTCAATGTAATTAACTTTTCATCTATGCTCTTGCAAGCACTATTGTGACAAAGTTTAGTTTTCGCCAATTGACAATCGCATTTCCTGTATAATAGCAAACAGCCTTTTCTGCCGAGCGCGAGGATCCGGTTTTTGAATTAAGCCCCATATAGAAAGGCAAACAAGCTAAAATTCATTTATTCTTGGTGGATATTTCCTAATTTCTTTCTTCCTCCAAATGTTCAATTTGGACTCTAAACGCGCTCTTTTTACCGCCAAATTGATAACCGTGTAAAACGTAGTCTCCCCATTCAATTTAATCAAGATTGTTTTCGAAATCCCTGCTAGCATCATTTTGTAGATTTATTTGCTTAACAGTCACCAAATAAATTGAATTTTTTCAAATAAAGTCCCCAGACAAAATAATTGTTTAGTAGGCTGTAATTTTTTCTGCTTAAAGCGAAACTTGTCACGGTGTTTTTCATGGAGTGTCTTAATGTCTTGAGCACCTCGAAATTACTCTTCTTTTCACGTTGATGTAAGGTCTCGGCGGCACCCTTTTCAGCAGTTGTAAATGTAGATTTAAATTGCAAAAGTTCTAACTCGCAGAAAACAAATGCTGTTTAATAGACGTGGCAATAATACTTTTGGCAAAATTAAAAAATCGAGCTGCACCTTGCGAGAGCAAAATGAATATTAAAAACTGAGCTATGAAAACCAGTGGGTTGGCTTTGGCGTTAATCGAAGTAAATACCATTTGTAAATAAAACTGTGCGGGCGCTAAATGAGAGCACGATTATTTTTTGTTTTGAGCCAGAATTTTCCAGTGTTTTTCGAAATCTTAAGCAAAGTACCGGTAACACAGAAGACAAAATGCTCCCCGCAGGTTTCGTTTATATGGGCTTTACTCCGAACTAATAGCCAAGATGCAATTTTAAAGCTCATGGCGATTAGCGCTAACAAGTGCGTAAAATTATGGTTAATAAAATGCGCTTGCAGGCTGCACGCTGTTTAAATATAATGAATCAAGTCAACTGGTACTGGTTATTAACACGCGCTAATCTTTCAATGAGATACATAGTGCATTATCGAGCACAATTAACTATTCTATATCGCTTCACGCGTCCATTTTCTCAGTTGTACAACGGCTTTCAAAAGTACAAATATCAAATGATGAAGCTCGGCAAAATTTAATTTTGCTGCGTACACAAGTCATTAGATTTTGTGTTTACCCATTTAATTACCTTTAATCTCTCCGGAAGGTTTTTTTTCGGACTAACTACAGAGGAATAAAGTCAAATCTTGCTTCCCTCTTTAAACAGAAGTTTTACAGGAAATTAGCTTAGTTAGTGTAAACAATATTTACATAGTGACTCCGACTGCAAGAAACACAGAAATTGTCGATAGAATCAAAAAGTAAATACGACCGATAATAACCCGAGACTGGGGTAAATAAAAAACGTTATTTTTTGGCTGTGCAAACCTGCTATTCTACACAAAACAAGTAGAGGATTTAGTTTTATAAGCAAACCAACGACTAGAAAAATAGTTGCCATGGTTGTTGCAAATTATTACTGACTTCCGTCTTCGAAAGTGGCTCAATGGAAGCATTAAGCGATGTAATAAGTTTTGGCGAGCGCCAGGCTCATTTTCCCACTATTTGCGGTAGATCGTCCGACATTTTTTCCGTTTCCATGTGGACTAATCTAAACAGTGCTAGATAATTAAGTTCCTAAGTGTTCGCTACGCGTGCCGTGTTTAATCTTTTGCTCGCGCAAATCAAAACACATCGAGTCATGCATTTCTCCTATTTAAAACTGAATCTTCTACTTTACCAAAACAATATAATTAGACACAGCACACCTTCGCCGAACAGCAGTGGTAAAACACGAGTAAACTATTTTTAAAAAGGTGTAATTTTTAATGCACGCCAAACAGTGGGACCTATTTATACCCCGTGGTGATAACAAAATATTTGGAAATGCTCAACTCACCAGGAGATTACTGACTGACAAAACAGTTCTAAAAGGAAGATCAAAGATATCTTAGACTACCCTGGTAGTAGTTTTAGGGCATTTTGAGGTTGAAAGCGAGCGAGTTAAGCTTCCCAATTAAAGCATTGTTGCTACTTACAGTGTTTTCACGTTACCAGAAAAAAAATTGGCACCATAGACTAAAACTACCTGCCGGCTAATTCTAATTCTAATTGAAACATTCATGTAAACGTGCGAGGGCAAACCGTTAATTAAAGTTTCTTATTGTGCCATCCTCCTACAAGATCCTCGTTGAAAAAAGTTTAAGAAAGCAAAACGCATTTTGCAAATATCACTTTGGAAGAATTTAGGCGTACATCTGTCAGTCTGTGGTTGTCTGGAAATTATGAAGTAGAATATCAGCTTTTTTAACTCAGCTACAAAATATCGAATCCTGGCAGATGTTTCTTTGCACCTTTTGAAAGGAATTACTGCTGAAAGTATTCATATATGAAAAAAAGCTATAGAATAACTCAATTATCTGCTGTAATTAACCAACACAGCTTGCCAAGACTTCTAATCGACCTCGAAATTGATTTTCTTTTATTTTGGACTTTTTCAGTCGCTTGGGGAAAGGCTTATGGGTTTAGCAAACTTTAATTCTTTTTGTCTGTTGTTTCCTTCAAACTGCTTGTGCCTGCCAAAAAGACAGGTATTATTGTATTTTTAATAAATGAAAGGAACCATTATTTAGTTGAAAGTTTATAAACGCCAATTCAATTAAATTCAGAGCCGAGAGTGGATTTTTATTGCTAACGGCTCGTGTAAGGCGCGCACCTTGCTCATTAAATAAAGTTGTTTCTTGTGAATAGCACTAAAGAATGAACCAAAAACGAGCTAAACTCGGAATGTTAAATCAAGTTTTTACGAATCAAACTCCGAACTCTTGAGCGCACCAAGCAATGTATCATGAAACGCAGTTTGCGCATATGAAATATTTGGCGAAAAACTCATCATTTTTCCTACTTCAATTTCTGTTTTGATAGACATTTTAACCTGTGTCCTGTCGGCGAAAAAACAAATTGTGTAAACAACGGAAATTTGCCTCTCAGAAGTAGCTATCCACCTTTAAGCAGGTGTAAAAAACTGGGTTATTATTTCTAAGAAAGGCTGTCTCATCAGTACACGGCTTGTACATTACGCTTTCCGAGTACAATTCAAGAAGCTAGATGATTTTTGGCGTACTCCGTAAACAAAGAAGGGTGTCCAAATTAGACTTTCAATAAACTACTTAATGCAATTTTATCAAGAATTTCACCATTCTGCCTGGTCAAAACAAGAAAGGGAAACGATATTAATATTTTACTAAGTGCTGATGAGACTGAATTCACAAATACATGCAGAATTAAAACTTTATCATCTTTCTTCAACGGCGGGTTAAAGAACTTGTGAAATTCCTTTCTGATCCTTCAAAACCTGCCTAGAGTCATTTGATCTCGTGTAAATGTTTGCGGCGTACTGTTAACCCGTGCGGAAACAAACTTTTTAAGTACCTTTTATGACTAAGTTTAATTCAACGGAATATGCCTGAAATATTAATGAAGAGAAGTTGAAAATAATTACGAAATATAGCTGATAAATAACCGTCTCGAAAACCTCATGAATGAGAAGAAATCGAACAAACTAAATGTTTTTCATAGAACTGCAGAATCCTATTCTCTAAAAGAGCTTATAAGAGGCCGTTACACGAAAACCGAAAAATTGTGCGCCACCGACTGAGCTGAACTACTGAGCAACAGAAATCAAACCCTTGTGAGTAGTAATCGAGTTAGTTCCCCAAATGAAAATCCAATGTTATATCTCAACCATTCAAATAAGTCACCACCAGCATCTAAGGTTAATTTGCTCGTCAAGTAAAATGGTTTAAGAAAATAATAAATAAAAGTGATGAATGCTCCAACGAAATATCGTAACATTGATCCCAGAGTTAGAAATATTTGTCGCTTAGAGAGTTTATTCGCAAAACTAATTCGTCCCAAGCAACTCGTATTTTGAGGTCGATTTCGACGAATAAAAAACGTGCTGTTAAATTATATGAATCGGGTTTAACATACAATCAAGAAAAACGGTTTCAACGCAACACAGTATAATTTAAAATGAATGGTTAATTTTGCCGGTTAAAATTAAATTCTGTCAATATAAAATTCAGCCGTTAGAGGTAAAAATTTGATTTTCATTTGGAATTCTCTCCTAACAATATTCCTTGTTTTCCTTCTCGGAAGGAAGGAACTTTAAAGGCTGTGACCTGATTCGGTATCAAAAGCATCAGTGACTTCTGCACAATTTATGCAGGAAAACAGGGAGCGAAATGTTTGAAACAGAACTACAGAAGAAAACGCTTTTGAAAATGCAGGGACTGTGCCGATGCGATGGAAGGATCAAACATTTAGTTTGTGTTTGCCGAAGACAAAATATATAAAGAGTGGAAAATTAAAAGAAGAGCGTTAATTGAAAATAAGAAATAAGAGGAACGTGGCAACTTAAATTATGGCTCAGTTACCCAGCTCTTAGGAGAAAAGTTACCTTTTAACGGTTCACAGGAAGCGGACGTGAAGGATTTCTGATAAGTCGTGGCAGTTGCAACAGCACAAGCGAAACAAGACAAGAAGAAGACGGAAGGAAGGAAGGAAAGAGCGAAGTCATTAAAAAAAACGCAAGTAAATAAACCGTATGATTCTTTACAGCCAAACAAGGAGGCTGAAACGGGTATTCTCTGTTAAAAGCTCGCCGACCTAATATTATTGCTGGTGGTAAACAAGTGTTAACTGAACGCGTGTGGTTATTGAAGTACCAGCAGCCATTGTCCTACACACTGTTGAAAGGTTTTCCTGTAAATCCAAACGTATTTTTCCTCTAACTGTTCTTGTCAAATTAAAATACTTAGGAGTTTACAAAGATAACGCATGAGACTTTTTAATTATCCAAGACTTTGGGAGTTTTAGGTGTTTTAGGCTGAAGACAATTCGCTAAAATACTTTCGCTGTCCTGACAATGAACTAGTGTTTCGAAGACCCTTCTTTCAAAACGGATCACCTCGGCAAGAAACAAAGATTCTAATCTGTTAAACAAAACGAAATTCTGCTCATGACTTCTTGTTCCCGCTGTTCACAGATAGTACAAAGCTGGGTCATGACTTGATGAAGTTTTCAAACGACGCGAAAGAAGTTAACTAAGTATGTAAAATATTCGGCACCATTCCAAGTTCCTTTGTATTTGAAATCAAAACAAAGCACATAGAGTTTTGCCTGCCGCTGCAGGGACACCTTAAGTCATCTCGATTGAACCTGTGAAGAGGTGCTTGCTCCACGTGTGAGGTCTGTGAGTAATCACTAGATCAAAAGTCGAGAAACCAAATTAACAGCGTTAAATGTGTACCTGCAAAGAACTGTATGTACTTGATTTAGTTACTACCCGTTTTAACAATTGTACAATGATCGGTAGCCTTCAATTAATGACGCACTCATGAATAAAGCGTTGTCACGGCTCTCTGTAAAAACTTTTGCAGGATTCAGTCAGCGGTGAGAAGATTGACAAAGGTCCGTTAGCTCAGACGAGGGACACCGGCAGAATGTACAAGAAGCACTTTATTAGTTAAACCTTTTGCGGTGGATTACATTCACAATCGTAACCAAATGCCTTTGTTCTTTCGTGTTTTATATTTCAAGGCGCAAAAGAATATCCCGAAAGAAAAAGAAAAGAAACACTGAGATGGATAAATGATTTGCTATTTCATTGAACCCACAAATTGTTTTCTATTCTTTTGTTTCTTATATTGTATGTAAAGGCGCCACAGATCAGAAACGTGTTTTTTGTTTTGGCCTTGAAAACACAAGCAACACGCGATGCGCTTTTTGTTGGTTGCACCGCTTTATTAGCTGTTAAAAAGGGTAACAAAACTGGAGAGTTACATCTGTCTTAACATTTACGATTC